AATCTTGATTATGGCAAGGTAGGACACATAAGCCTAACCCCGAGCTGAGCTAGAGTTTTTCCTTTTTATTTTTAGGTATAGTTTAGTAGCAGGAGGGGTAGGAGTCATTCCCTAGAGCCTAAAGTGAGGAAGGGGAAATGAGACAAAGGCTAACTAAGGACGAAGTACGGAAGATTCTTACTCCCAGGTGAAGGTTCTAGAATAAGGATAAGGAAGTCCACTGGGAAATGAGGAAGGTTTTAGATAGAGTCCGGAAGTGAAAGATGAGCCAACACTGCCCTACGTTTTACCCTTCCAGCAACTAGTGAATAAGCATACCCAGGTTCTAGAAGTAAGAATAGTAGTCAGTTTACTTGAAAAGTAATTCCCCTGTTGAGGCTAGAACGATTCTATCAGTACTAACGGATGCTTCTTTACTAACTCAACCTAACGGATTCGGCATCATTACTATACAATATTTTTCCTTGAAAAAAGTACAGAGGATTATTATTATTCTACTAGAAGTACTCGATTCTGCGTTATACTAACTACTCTATATATCGGTACGTTCGAAGAATCTAATCTTTTTCTACTGGTTCAGCAAGCTAGCCGAACTATCAAACAAACAAAAATCACAATAATAAGGATCGAAGGGCTATTCTCCTAACAGTAAGTACTAGGACTAAGACATTCCCGGAGGTTCCTACAATTGAGAAAAAGTCTCCATACGAGCAGTCTTGATGCCATCCTATCCTTCCTACAAACTACATATGTATAGTGGGAGCCTCCTATGAACCAGTTGCAGTTGTTTTGCCATTCGCTGGGGTTGAAGTTTCTTATCAGCCGGAGATCCTAGTTTCTTTTTCTTCTCCTATAGAATTAAATTACTTACTTTATACTTTATGTTGATATGTGTAAATATATATATATATAGTGTTGAGAACATTTGTATATAGAATAGTCTCACATCGACTATATCATGTAATTAGTTGTATTCTATTTATATATAATAATATCTCCGTAGTGCTTTTCAAAACACACGGTTTATTCAAATGTCTCTTAGTCTCTTGTATTTCAACATGGTATCTAGAGCCTGCTAAGAGGCAATTCTTTCTTCGCCGTGCTTTACACGGTTGACCCACTGTCTTCCGGTGAGAAATTTTTTTTTGCAAACCGTGTTGTCACTCCGGTTTGCCTCACTTTTCAAAATTCTCCGGTCATAACCGCATAGCTGCCGCCGTTGTTGCTATTCTCAACGACCTTCCGGCAAACTTTTTCATCGGCAGAAACATCTACACGCGCCACCTCCGTCTCTGCGCGTGGGCATCAAGCGCCGCCACCTGAAACGCACGTGACAGCACGTCCGGCCGGCGATCGATCGCGTGATATTTTCTCTCTTCAGATACTCATGGCTACCCCTCAGAACTTTACGCCAAACTACGATGATTTCCTCAGGTGGTATCAGAATTATCAGAAATCTGATTCTACTGCTAAGGTAGCACACACTGGTAATTTATCTGTTTGCCTCTCTCAATCATCTCCTCTTCGACCTTGGGTCCTTGATTCTGGTGCGTCTGATCATGTTACTGGTAATAAAAATTTGTTCTCTTCCCTCTCTACCTCTGGTTTCTTACCTACTATAACTTCGGCCAATGGTTCTCAAACCCGATCCGAAGGGATTGGTACTGTTCAAATTCTACCTTCTCTATCTGTTACTTCTGTCCTCTATGTACCTAATTGTCCATTTAATTTACTTTCAGTCAGTCGTTTAACTCGTTCTCTTGATTGTAGTATCACCTTCACTAATAATAATGTTACCCTGCAGGATCGGAGTTCGGGAAAGACGATTGGCGTCGGATATGAGTCTCAAGGCCTTTACTACCTTTCATTGTCATCTCAGACATGCTTAACCAAAGATTCTCCACTCACTATCCATGCTCAGTTAGGTCATCCCAATCTTTCCAAATTACATAAGTTGGTGCCAAATTTATCGAAAGTATCTAATTTACATTGTGAGTCGTGCCAATTAGGGAAACACACTCGTAGTCAATTTCCCAGTCGGGTCAACAAACGAGCTTCATCCCCTTTTGCTTTAGTTCACACCGATGTTTGGGGTCCCTCGCGTACTGTCTCTACTCTTGAGTCTAGGTATTTTGTCACCTTTATTCATGATTTTTCACGTTGCACGTGGTTATTTTTAATGAAGAATAGATCTGAATTGTTTTCCATTTTTGAACAATTTTATCGAGAAATAAGAACCCAATTTGGTTTGTCTATTCGTACCTTAAGCAGTGACAATGCAGGTGAATATTTATCACAACAATTTCAAACATTTATGTCATCCAATGGTATTTTGCACCAAACATCTTGCCCTCATACACCCCAACAAAACGGGGTAGCCGAACGCAAAAATCGGCACCTCGTAGAAACCACTCGGACCCTACTTTTCCATGGTAATGTTCCTCTCCGGTTTTGGGGAGATGCAGTGCTCACGGCATGTTACCTCATAAATCGCATGCCATCATCTGTCCTTAATAATAAAATCCCTCATTCAATCTTGTTTCCAAACTCTCCACTCCACCCAATTCCTCCTCGAGTCTTCGGGTCCACGTGTTTTGTACACAATCTCTCCCCTGGTCTTGATAAACTATCAGCTCGATCACTAAAGTGTGTCTTTCTTGGCTATCATCGATCCCAAAAAGGTTATCGTTGCTACTCACATACTCTACAACGATACCTCGTATCCGCCGATGTTACCTTCTTCGAGTCTGTTCCATATTTCGAATCCAGCCATGTTACTACGGAACCTCTACAGGAAAGTATTCCCACACCTCTTCCGAAAGTCCCATCTGTCATTATCCCCCATCATTCTAGGGAACCTGACCCACTAGTTACCCATACGGTTGACCCCCCCCACTCCTCGCCCACTTCAAACATATCAGCGTCGTCACCCAAAGTCTGTCGTACCTGTCCCTGAAGTCGTACCTGTCCCTGAAGTCACTACGGTCGTACCTGTCCCTGAAGTCGTACCTGTCCCTGAGGTCACTACAGACTCTCCTCCGACGCACTCGCCATCACCGGATTCGATCCTGCAACCTGAGTCTGATCTTCCAATTGCCCTTCGAAAAGGTATACGTCAAACACGAAATCCTTCTCCACATTATATTGATTTATGTTATCATCGTCTTTCCCCTTTGCAGTATACTTGTTTGTCTTCTGTTTCTATTCCTAAAACTCCAGGTGAAGCATTATCTCACCCTGAGTGGAGGCAAGCAATGATTGATGAAATGTGTGCTCTTCAAAGCAGTGGTACCTGGGAACTGGTTCCTCTACCCCATGGGAAATCTTTAGTAGGTTGTCGTTGGCTTTATACAGTGAAGGTTGGTCCAGATGGCAAGATTGATCGATTTAAAGCCCGCTTGGTAGCCAAAGGATACACTCAAATTTTTGGGTTGGATTATAGTGATACCTTTTCGCCTGTAGCCAAGATGGCATCTGTTAGACTTCTTCTAGCCATTGCAGCCATTCGACATTGGTCTCTTCATCAACTTGATATCAAAAATGCATTCTTACATGGTGATCTTGAAGAGGAAGTATATATGGAGCAACCACCTGGATTTGTTGCTCAGGGGGAGTCATCGAATATGGTTTGTAGGCTACACAGGTCTCTTTATGGTCTTAAGCAATCTCCGAGAGCTTGGTTTGGCAGATTCAGCACTGTAGTACAACAGTTTGGTATGATCCGTAGTGAAGCTGACCATTCTGTTTTTTATCGTCACTCACCCCAAGGATGTATTTATCTTCTTGTGTATGAGGATAAAAGACATACCCAGATAATTGGATACTCTGATGCTGATTGGGCAGGATCACCCATTGATAGACGATCCACCTCTGGGTATTGTGTACTTGTTGGAGGAAACCTTATATCCTGGAAAAGTAAGAAACAAAATGTAGTTGCAAGATCAAGCGTCGAGGCAGAGTATAGGGTCATGGCAATGGCAACATGTGAACTTATTTGGTTAAAACAGTTGCTCAAGGAACTTCAAATTGAAGAAGTAAGACCAATGACACTTATTTGTGATAATCAAGTTGCATTGCACATTGCTTCAAATCCAGTCTTCCATGAGAGGACCAAACATATTGAGATAGACTGTCACTTTGTCAGAGAGAAGATCGAGTCAGGCGACATCGTCACAAGCTTTGTCAACTCTAATGATCAATTGGCAGATGTGTTTACAAAATCCCTACGAAGCCCCAGAACTAACTATATATGTAACAAGCTTGGTGCATTTGACTTATATGCTCAAGCTTGAGGGGGAGTGTTGATATGTGTAAATATATATATAGTGTTGAGAACATTTGTATATAGAATAGTCCCACATCGACTATATCATGTAATTAGTTGTATTCTATTTATATATAATAATATCTCCGTAGTGTTTTTCAAAACACACGGTTTATTCAAATGTCTCTTAGTCTCTTGTATTTCAACACTTTAGAGTAAGACTTTCTTCCCAGTTAGAAAAAGAATATCACTATCAATCAGCTTGAAAGACATCAGAATCAAAGGCAAGCCCATCTAAGATAGTTTGAGTGTTTGCTTAATCTGATACTTCCCGAGCTTTTCTTTTGCCTGTGCGGAGCCCTTAATGCTTCATTTCTTCAGTCCCGAGCAAATTTAAGCTAGAAAAGTGTAGCTCTCATGATTTCTTCGGACCATTTGCTCTATTTTTTAGTCGTATCAGCGTTGATTTGACTTTCCTTGTCCGTCGAGTCAGTAGTCGATCTAGTAAGATTCTTGTATGATAAGTAGCCCATTCTCTTAGGCTTCCCTTCAGGCCTAGTAGTAATTCTTCTTTCTACTCCATCAAGATGGTCAGTGCCACTGTCTTTCTTGATTCATGTAGGATGGGTTGGTTAAGGCGAAGCAGGTTATCAAGAATCCATTCAATTAGATGCTGGTTCATTGGCCCGGCCCCTTTCCACTCCTTCACCTCTTTAACTGGGTGGGGGACAGGCAGTTACACAACCAGCTTCAGCCAAATGTAGTGGAAGTGGAAACTGTTGCCCAGGGTGTATAGGATCAAATATCTGAAATAATAAAAATATACAGCATACAAGTAGTATCACAAAAATAACAATGCTATATAGACTCGAACTGTGAAGTATTAGAAGGAATATCAAACCGCAGCTTAAGTGGTGCAGAAGTTGCATTCAGAAGAACAACCTATATGTCAAAAAGTTGGTTTATAAGAAAACAATGCATGGGGTAAATGGGAAACATCAACATAAAGAATAAAAGTCATTTTATACTTACAGTTGAGTATATTCGTATCAACTTGCTATAGCGTAACGCAGAAACATCTAAAACAACAGGAACAACAAAAGTTGGGGCAGTATTCATTCTACCATCATCATCATTTTCATTATATGACTTGGAGAAATTAGCATTAAAACACGTTAATCCAACTAAATCCATTGAAATTGGATTAGACAGCATAGATGTTCCTTCAAGCTGTACCGTAATATAACGATGAGCTAAGCCACTTGGCCTTTGCTCATTTAGACGTTCGGAAGAATGATAAGGACTTTAATGCTGTTGCTCATCATTTTCATCCATGTATATTGTACTTGCAGAACCTGGTTGCACATATTTTGCATGACTCAAATCTGGGTCATAGATATCATTAGGATTGATATGCCCATTATATACATGATATAGAAGTGGTACAGAGGTTAAGTTTTGTATAACATAAGGAGCAGCACATTTTCTTGCACAAATGTATTCAGCACACGGTGGATGTAAGAATCTGTTTCCTTCATGATCTTTCAATCCCATCAGACCCAAGGCATCATCCAACATCTCGGCAGTACGTGAAACACACTGAAAGAAACATGGTAACTAAGTACAGTATAAATAGTGGGTAACTTTTTATGAGAGGCTCAATATGTATACAAAGGAAACCAAGGTTAAGGCTGAAAAATACTGGTATATAAAAAAATAAAGAGATGTCTGTTTTAGGGCCCAAGATCAAGAGAAAGTTTTCAAATCTATGAATGGAAAAGATGATACTTAGAATGTCTCAACTAGATAGAAGGTAGGAGAGGTGGTTTGGGTGTGTTGTATAAGGGGTTGGGAGGTATACGAATGGGAGTTTGAACCCACCCCACTTCAACATACTAACATAACTAACAAAAAGAAATTAAGTTTTTTCCTAATATCATACACAAAATGGATTTTAAGGTGTGTGAAACTTTTGCTAAACTCGTTTCAGACTGATCTCTGTTCAATATGGGAGAGCTAGATTTTTCTTTTCCCAATATACATCCTCACACTATTGAGCCTAGTCTGTAAAATAATATGGTGGATGACTCAAATAGATATCATCAGATACAATCTTAAAATTTTGGTTGTAACTCGGCTCTACAAAACCAACTTGTTAAGAAAGATGTGCTACTCTTTATAAACTCTTTTCAAACCTTGTTTCTTTTCGATGTGGGACTTGGGTTTTTCTTAGTATACAATTATAAGTGTTAAATTATAATGGAAAAGAAGTTATCCATTAAGTCGTAACGCACATCAAAATGATAGACCACAAAATACGACAACCAGACCTAGTTACTTCCACAGCTGTCTATATACTAGAAACAGATTATTTAGAAGCATCATATCAAGAAACATATTTCTATAAACAAGACAAAATGAAAAAGAAATTCTAATCTGAAAACAAAAAATTACATACCTCTACCAATGACTCTGTAATATTAATGTTCAGCCGAGTTGTTGATTCAAGAATGATATCAGTTGAAAGGGACCTGTTCGGAAGAACACTGATTTCTTGACCCCTGGTCAAAGTGAAAAGAAACTGCCAAGGCTCAACAAATGGCTCCCAAGACACCTTCAATTTATTATCATACAAACACATAAGCAACAGTTAACTGTTAATGCAAAATGAATAAAACAACAATAATGGTTTGTATCACAGGTAAAACAACAAAAATAACGTAATCTCAATGCACCTTTTCAATGTTTTTGTAGTTTACTTGAAGATCGCCTGTGAAAGAACATTCTAGGTGCTTTCCACTTGCAGATGCTTCTCACAACAACTTCCAGCTGAGGCCCATTATAGCTCCACTACAAGACACGAAAAAGGCTTTCAGTGTGAGCCAAGAAAAACCAAAATGTGAGACGAGAAAAAACAAAATTTGAGGAATAAAAAAAGATACATATTTTATCAACATTCCATCAGTGGCTAAACTAGTTTATTCATTGATAAATTTCATTCAGACAACATCCTAAGAACCGATTCACACCTAAGGCTTTCAGTGTGAGCCAAGAAAAACAAAAATGTGAGACGATAAAAAACAAAATTTGAGGAATAAAAAAAAAATACATATTTTATCAACATTCCATCAGCAGCTAAACTAGTTTATTCATTGATAAATTTCATTCAGACAACAGCCTAAGAACCGATTCACACCTAAGGCGTTGCAATGTATTGGCCATTATGTAATCCTCCAAAGTACTCATGCTAAGATTAGTTTCCATATTAATTAGTTATTATTATGATTTGTTTTCTATTTTCCACTTGTTTAGGATTAGAAGTTTTGTATCCCAATATATAAAGGTTAGTGTTTAGTCTTTTATATCAAGTTACTACCAATTATACATTATTAGACTAAAAGCATATCATTCTTATTTTATTTTAAATCCATTACTTCAAAATGGTACCAGAGCGGTACCATTGTCTCGTCTCAACGACTCTACTGCTGAGTTTCTGAATGTTTTGCTAAAAGTTGTGTACTTGTGTTTAGAATCCTTTTGTTGGACCCTGTTTCTTTTTCTTTGTTTCAAAATTTTCCCCTGTTTTGGGGATTCAAGCGCAATCACGTGTTGACCCAGTTCTTTAGCAGTGCTGTATGTCATCTTCCGCTGCTTGAAAATTGTCCAACAAGTTCATCGCCAATTCGACAGGGTTCTCCACTGTTTTAGCGTAATTGACCGGCATGTTTTAGACAGGAAACCTCTGTAGAAGGTGTGACTCCAAAAGGTCAAGTAAACCCTTGAACATCAGAGTCTTCCAGCTTGCCACCGGCAAAAAGCATTTTTAGCGTGTTCAGTGCTAGCAATAGTATCACCATCCGAAGCTCTGTTTGTGTCCAGCATCTGTGGTTCAACTCGTCGACGCTTCCTCGGTACATTATAGGGATCATTTGTATGATCCAGTCATTCAATCAGTACTGTCTACCCGCCACTGAGTCATCTATACTATTTGAGTTACAATTTATGAGTTCTCTGTTTATGGTGCTTCAACTGTAGCTTGGCTTTTGACACCTCGGTTTGCTCTCTTTCCCTTTCGTGATCCTTTTGGGGCTAATGTTGTTTTGGCTACATACAATCATTTCAAGAACTCAATCTATCGTACCAATTAGGTTCACCATTGTAACGCCATTGACACCATCATTGCAGTCTAACATCACTTATTGTTTGTTTTGAATTTGTACCATCTGGTTTAGGCATCAGCTAGTGTTACAGTGCGGGCCTATTTGGCTTAGCTAATCGATATTCATGAGAATCAAGTGTGATTTCTCTAATTGCTCGGAGAAGAGTTCTGGGGCACAAAGTTAATTGGCTGTTATTTGTTTTCCCTGTTGGTTTATCCCAAAAATATCCTTTTATGTCTCCTAATGCCGTGTTATATTTTCTCTTCTTAATGGTATATTCGTAACAATTGTAAAGCATAGTAAGCTTTAGCTTTAGGAGGAGTGTAATAATGATATAAGAAAATATGGTCTTTTAATATCTTTAGATTATGTTAAGAGTATACATTTATCTCTATTTGTTAGCATTGATATAGTTTCCTATAATGACAAAGAAATCTCCAAAACAGACGATCAAACGTGTGACTCACACCCAGAAAGTTGTCCCATAAGAATCATTAGCAAGGAAAACCGAGTAGGATGAGACAAATTGCAGTAAGAATCAGCAACCATAGGGTGCCTGTGGGCCCCGCGCACTTGATCAAGTTTATAATGACAGCGTGTGGCAGCGCGTGTCGGTGATTTTGGCGGCATAGTTTTTGCCTGTAGATTGGCGGCCTCCGGCTTTTATGGTAGGACACATTTTAGTATTGATGGCAGTAAATAATTGTTAGAACCAGTTGTACATGTGTTAAATAGCTGTATATTTTATATTTAAGTAGGTTTAAAGGATTTGATTAGGTGTGTATGTATTTATAGAAACTATTGACCCTTAATTATAGAATTGACTGAGGGCAATGATGAATATTTATTAGGGATTTCCTTTTCTAAGTACGTTGTATTCTATTTAAGAGCACATGTTGCTCTATCAATAATAAGAAAAAACAATTATCTTTGTCATGGCATCAGAACTCCAAAATCCATAGGAGCCTGTTTAAAATTGTGGCCTGCATTGCCATTGTTTCCGCTGTGCGGCCTGCATTGCCGATTTTATTTTACGGTCTATATTGCAGTTTTCCCCAACAAAACTCAGAATGTCTGAACCAGTTAATACCCCTGCCCCAAACACTGGCTCCGTTGAGCTGAAAAATGTTCAACCTAGCCTTCGTCTCAATGGTAGAAACTACCTCAAATGGTCTCATTTTGTCCAAACCTTTTTAAAGGGGAAGGGCAAATTGAATCATCTTACTGGAAAGGATACTCCAGTAGCTACAGACAAGAAATTTGCTGCATGGGATGAAGAAGATGCTGTGGTAATGGCATGGCTATGGAATTCCATGGTGCCTGAGATTAGTGATGCGTGCATATTCATGAAGACTGCCAAAGAGGTGTAGGACAGCTGTAAAGAAAACTATTCCAATGCTGCACAAATTTACGAAATTAAGATGAAGATTGCGAGTACCAAGCAAGGAGATCGGTCCATTAGTGAGTATGCCCAAACTCTACAAAATCTATGGTTGGAGTTGGATCACTATGAGCATTTTGAGGCAAAATGCACAGCAGATGCTACTTTACTAAAAAATTATAAGAAGAAGGATAGAATCTATAAGTTCTTAACAGGTCTGAACAACGAGTTTGATCCAATAAGGATTCAAGTACTCGGAAAAGAGTTACCTTCACTAAATGAAATCATGGCTGCCTTTCGAACAGAAGAATCGCGAAGAGGAGTGATGACGGAGCCTCAATCACATGAAAGTTCAGCCTTAGTAACACAAAGTCGAGAGAAGAACATTGACCAATGGAAGAACGGTCAAACCGGAGGAGCTCCCAAAATGGAGATTGAAAGAGGGGATAACAGGGATTCTCTATGGTGTACCTTCTGCAAGAAGCCAAGGCACACCGAAGACAGATGCTGGAAACGTCATGGAAAACCGCCAAATCAGAATCGAAATTGGAACACCAAAGGCATTCAACAAGGAGGACCAGCACATGCCCACTTGGTCCAATCAAGTGCTGTCGAGGAAAGTCATTCTAAACCTACTGTTGCTGCTGACTTCAATCCAAAAGAAATTACAAAGC